CTAAATAAGTATTTATAACACTAAAAGATATGCTAAGACTAGGATATGCTAATGCTATATGCTAATGCTGAACTACCGCTGACCTCCTACGCTCGCTTGCAAATCCAACTCCCACTCGCCACAAGGCGTGGCCGAGACGCTCGTTGCTTTTATAACTTTGGCACGGAGCTGCTACGTAGTACTCTACTGGTTTACGTAGTACTTTACTCTTTAGCCATTGGCTAAAATTTATTCAAAATGACTCAAATTCTATGTTTTCAGCTGAAGGTGGCGCATTACTGTGGTTTTTAGACAGAATTTTTAATTTTTAAAGAAAATGCACCAAAATGCTAAAATAAAGAATGCACACATTTAAAACACTATTAGACACTCATTTATACAGTTCATCAGCAAAAAAAAGTTAATTTAGACGTTACTTGCTCTTTAAATATTCTGCCTAAAACTGTCAGTGTTGTGCCGTTGTCAGGTAAAAACTCTGCACTGTATTTTAATTTAAATCTGCCACCGCTATTGGCTAAGAAGTATGCTATGATGTAAACTGGTACATTATGATGTCACAATGCTGTGAGCTAGCCTGGCAAGCCAGACTAAATAAATGTATTATTTAGTCTGGCCATGCTCCATTGACGGCTCTCGGTTGTGGGGCGGGTTCTACCGTTGTCTTTCAAATGATCTCCGCATTCCACTGGACAATGAATGTGACATACTCTTGTTTCACTCTGTTGCATCATCCCACCCACCAGGCATATAGAGTGCCCTGATTGGCCCACAAAGCGAATAAAGCTCTGTGATTTGTTCACTAAGCAGATAGAGCACTATGATTGGCCCACCATTATGGACCAATCACAGCTCTTTATGTGTTTGAAACCCCTCTAGAGAGCTGTGATTGGCTAGCCAGAGTCCTGGTAGGAGCTGCGGAGGTTCCAATGGAGCATGCCTAGACCAAACTTTGCAAAGCAAGAATTTGTTCTAGATCACTAGGCTAGTCGTGAGCCTGAGTGTGTGTGTATTTGTTAGCGGCTCCGCCCTCTCGGTCTGCCAGGCAACAGCATGTGTTGCATTTTTCAAACATGAAGTGGGAGTGGAGTTAGACTCTGGTAGGGGTTGACTTGCTCTTTAAATAACTGAAATGTACTTTTCTGAAATGTTTGTGTTAGTAAAATTTAAGTTAAATGTTTTGGAAACGTAGTTTTTTAAATAAAAACAAATAAAGGAGCAATGCAACACATCGCCACAGGATAAACTCTCCCAGAGTTACCAGAGGGACCCCAAAAATGTCTTTGGCCCTGTCTGGCCACCCCATCAAAATTTCCTGGAGGCGCCCCTGTTAATCCGCTGCTCTGTCTGATCATGAATCAGACGTGTTTGGGTTGTAGCAGGCACACAGGTGCGCAGCAACATTATGTCACTAATGCAATACAATTACAGGCAACTGTCATGTTTTTGTTTCCAGGCTTTTCCTCTGATTTCCACCTGAATGCATCCGCTTTACCGTGAAAAAGAAGCCATTCCTAACAACCTAAAAGGACTGTTTCACAAACAGCGTGTGTACTTTCATGTGTGTCACTCTTCGAGTCTATTAAATTCATCAGTGCCCATTTTCCCGACCAATAATTACACAGATGTTCTCAGTAATGTCCATTTCAGCCCGCCGTCCGTGGCCACAGCTGGGACTCGCGTTTGCTTTGGTACTTTTGAACATTAATGCGTTTTACCTGCTCGTTGGATCCATAAAATGCATCTCAGCTCTCAGAAGTTCAGAGAATTTTTATTACTATTAATGCTGTGGGGTCAGTTTGACCCCATGAGAAGAAGGAACATGTACAGTACATCTGTGCACGGTGCAGCGCTGGAGGTAGGATTATGCAGACTTAGACCATCGATTATAACCTGAAACACTTCTGATTTTATGAGCTGCTTGTTATTTATTTAGATGCATGCATTAGGGCAACACAAAATCACAAGTCTGTTTATGAAGAGCCTGTTTAACCATAATGTTGCTGAGCTGAATTCTTCTGTTTGTAACATTTAAAACAAGTGATGACCAAATGAGTGTCAGAATCAACGGTAAACAGCATGAAAATGCGGTTTTCATGCTGGTGATTTTATTTATGAAAGCAGTGGCGGTTCTACATGGAATTACACCCCGGGCGAGGCCCCCTTTGAGCACCCCCCCACCCCCACCCCACCCCACCCGCACGCACACACACGTTTTCTACAAACAGGCATGTTTCATTAGAACGACTATTGAACATTCATTTTTCGTCAAAACCGTTCTGCTCCTGCGAAGCTGACACAGCAAACGGTTCCTGCAGAACAAGCTGATCTTGTTTAGACTCCTTCAGAGTCCCAGACGCGCGGTTCCATCCACGTCGTGACCCGAGACATCTCTGGACTGAAGAGTCGGTGCCACGGTATTCTACAGCCCCTCGGTGCCAGAGGTAATCCGACCTCTCTGACCTTCACATCCACCAAGAGGGTCTCCAGAACGGGTGAAGTA